GTATAATGGGAAAGTGGTTCAAATGTTACACAAACGTGGTTACAAAGAAATATATGATGGGTAAATCATGTGGGGTTTTATTCCATACTGTATTAAAAGTCAATTTTAGTAATATGAGCTGCAACTCTTGACTAGTTTAGCCTGCCACGCACATTGTTATCTATTCTAAATATTATATACCGCAGCACTCGCTTGTCTTATTGTACATTTTGTTTGCAGAGGAGGACATCTTTGAAAAAGTGGGGATTTGTCACTGAACGGTTTTCATACCTTGTTCTTAGAAAAGGAACTCGAAATGAAGAAGGTTGGTGGCATACTTTAGCACAATATTTTGTGCATGCTTAATCGTACTCCCAAAATTCAATTCATTAATGAAGACAAGAGAATATAGTTAATATCATATACAAGGTGACTAATCCAAAGGGGACTCCATAGGTTCCACAGTAGCCCCCATATGATCTAATAAAATTYACTTAACAATCAATTTTCATTGCATTCATGTTCTGAATCTTAGTCGACATGGGCTGCCTGTGCCTATGAGTGCCTGTAGTACATTTTATTGTTCGTTTCCATGATGTTCATGATAGATATTATTGAAACAAAATAGAAAAAAACTGGATCGTCCTCTGATATGAGTTATTGGTTAAAATATAAAATGTAATTTCAATGTGGGACTCCTATAGTTTGTCATCAAGAACGGTTTTTTTTTCATATTCATACATGTATTTACTTAGACAAACCTTGGCCAAGAATTCTGGAGCACGTGAAGTTGAGAGGAAGACATGTTATTTGCAAGCTATGCTCAAGTAATGGTAAGCCTGCTTGCCTTTTATATCTAACAGAGGGTGTATTTGTATTGACTATGTGCAGAATGATGGCTCATAGTATACGCAACAAACATGACACAGACCAGATAGTAAAGTTCCAGTTGTAAACCTTGCTTGGTATTGATATAGCATGTTTTAGGGTTCAAATTTTTTCTACTTTCACACAAAGTACTGTATCTGTTGCAAGTATTATCTATTGTCGGGAAGAAGGCGAAGGGAGATTGCATGACCGAAAGGAACTTATATATTTACACTGTTTTGACAAACAAAATTTCACTTGTTTGGTTCGCCTAGCATAGAAATGGAGACTAAATATGGAGCCGACGTTTACCGCAGACTATCTTACATTATAAATCAGTTGCTATTTCTCATCAATTAGCTAAACCAATGGCCATTTTTAGTCGTATAATCGCCGTCCGACAATTGACATTCGCCATTTTATCCGACAACCTTTTTTGAAATACTGTAAGTATATACCAAGCTTTGTGTCTTGTCTCTTGTCTCTCTTCCAATTTTCCTAGATGTTGGCAATCAGTGAATTACGCTTAATTTTACTAAGGAACCTGTTATTGAATATAGTTGTGTTTTTACAGGTGATATTGAGCAGAAGATACTAACAAAGAAGAAGGACAGGTAAAACGTTTATCCAACTTTTGTGACTATAGTTGCACTATTTCAAATTGAATTCACAAATCAAAAGATTTTATTGTTTTTAAAACTGATTGCAACAGCTAAAATCATATCCGACCAGTAAAGGTGTGGGCAGAAAAAAGTCCATAAATTAATAAGGACAGGCAAGCGAAGAAGGAGGACTTATTGAGCAATCAGTTTAGTGTCTGGTGCTATACAAGATGAGGTCGGTCAGCAATGAGTGGGTTAATAACTATTCCTATTATGAGTACGGTCACCAGAAGGATTTGAGATGGTGTCAATACATAGAAAAGCATTTTAATTTTGTGTGTGTTTTGTTGTTTGTTTGAAAAAATAGCGATATCTACAAGTGTGCAAGACATCTTAGTAAATGGGGAGACTTAATGCCGATAACAGAAGACAGAAAACGTCCTTTGAAGAACCCTCACGTTACTTTAACACGGCGAGGAAAGCNTAGATATTATTGAAACAAAATAGAAAAAAACTGGATCGTCCTCTGATATGAGTTATTGGTTAAAATATAAAATGTAATTTCAATGTGGGACTCCTATAGTTTGTCATCAAGAACGGTTTTTTTTTCATATTCATACATGTATTTACTTAGACAAACCTTGGCCAAGAATTCTGGAGCACGTGAAGTTGAGAGGAAGACATGTTATTTGCAAGCTATGCTCAAGTAATGGTAAGCCTGCTTGCCTTTTATATCTAACAGAGGGTGTATTTGTATTGACTATGTGCAGAATGATGGCTCATAGTATACGCAACAAACATGACACAGACCAGATAGTAAAGTTCCAGTTGTAAACCTTGCTTGGTATTGATATAGCATGTTTTAGGGTTCAAATTATTGTACTTTCACACAAAGTATCTGTTGCAAGTATTATCTATTGTCGGGAAGAAGGGAAGGGAGATTGCATGACCGAAAGGAACTTATATGTTTACACTGTTTTGACAAACAAAATTTCACTTGTTTGGTTCGCCTAGCATAGAAATGGAGACTAAATATGGAGCCGACGTTTACCGCAGACTATCTTACATTATAAATCAGTTGCTATTTCTCATCAATTAGCTAAACCAATGGCCATTTTTAGTCGTACAATCGCCGTCCGACAATTGACATTTGCCATTCTATCCTACAACCTTTGGGAAATAGGTATATAAGCTTATGTGGCGCGCGTAAGGTTTCTAGCTCTTCCACTTTTCCTAGTTATCGGTAATCTAATGTTACTGAGGAACCTGTTATTGAATATAGTTGTGTTTTTACAGGTGATATTGAGCAGAAGATACTAACAAAGAAGAAGGACAGGTAAAACGTTTATCCAACTTTTGTGACTATAGTTGCACTATTTCAAATTGAATTCACAAATCAAAAGATTTTATTGTTTTTAAAACTGATTGCAACAGCTAAAATCATATCCGACCAGTAAAGGTGTGGGCAGAAAAAAGTCCATAAATTAATAAGGACAGGCAAGCGAAGAAGGAGGACTTATTGAGCAATCAGTTTAGTGTCTGGTGCTATACAAGATGAGGTCGGTCAGCAATGAGTGGGTTAATAACTATTCCTATTATGAGTACGGTCACCAGAAGGATTTGAGATGGTGTCAATACATAGAAAAGCATTTTAATTTTGTGTGTGTTTTGTTGTTTGTTTGAAAAAATAGCGATATCTACAAGTGTGCAAGACATCTTAGTAAATGGGGAGACTTAATGCCGATAACAGAAGACAGAAAACGTCCTTTGAAGAACCCTCACGTTACTTTAACACGGCGAGGAAAGCTCAGGAAATAACTTGTGCAATCAAATTTCTTAGTTGAGAGTTTTTTCGTTGACCGAGAAGGAAAAGACTATCTATCTAATAATAAAAAAACTACGATTGTTGAGTCTGCTAACTTTTGTACTTACCATTTTTTTTTTCACGGTCAAATTGAAAAGCAACCATTTTAATGTAATAATCGCCATTGAAAATGTATAAAAAATTATTTTGAAAAATGGTTGTCGAAAATTGATAAGAAGCTTGAGCTATTATCAAGTACATATTGCTCAAGGGACTTCTAAAAAGAGAATAGTTCTTGTGCTTTATTGGAAATACGAATTTTGTTTCATAGCTATTGTCGCTGCCAGATAAAGAGGGAATTATAGATTTCTTTAATTCTATATGTTTTCCATCCAAAAATCTCTGAAATAAGTAAASAAATTAGTAACACTGAAAATTGAAAAAATCAACAACAATAATAAAAATAATGAAGCTTAAACAAGAGATCATGCTCATAGTATATTTTATTTAAACTTTACCTTAAAACGATGATTTGTGATTTGTTTCACAACTCCACGTCAAATGATTTATCTTATGAATTTTGCATTAAAAGATTTCAATTCCATTAGTATAGCATTCTTGGATTTCACAGTCATTAAAAACAAGGTTCTTACAATTATCTGGTGTAAAGTTTTGTTTGGTTGGTTGGTTGGTTTTTTGTTGTTTGTTGTTTGTTGTTTGTCCTTGAGGAACTTTGTAAATCATTTCTAAGTTGTAACGCAAAATATTACCTTGGATGTATGAGTTGTTTTATAAGTAATGATAAAGTTTTCATGCTAAAACATCTTTTTCAAATTCAGTATTATTCAAACTTGGAAGAACATTCAGTGTAGTTCGATTCCTGTGTTATGGTTGAGGGAATTCCTATAGGGCGACTCTTTCGATCCACATAAATCCGCCCCTGTTATAAGTGTCATCTTATTCGCTATTTCAGTACAATCGACAACTGTTCATGAAATCACATGGAGAAAAATGATTTGCAAAGCTTCCCGCTATGATAGTGATTGAACAATTATCAGTAAATCATGTTTTACAACCTTGTATTAATTAACTGAGCTGATTTATGAATGACTACTTGGTGCAAACGGCACATGTCAGTTCTAGGTCTTGTCTGTATGGGCGACAAGGAAGGGAACCGCAGTGACCCGACACAGGATACAGCAGAGCTCCATTGTGATTTGGTTTGCTTCCTGCTACAGCCTCAGCATCTTTGTCTACACAGATATAAACTCTGTTATTCTTGTGGCCATAATATTCCGTCATCAGGTACCCATAATACTCTCTGGTCCACCCTGAGGGGCACTTGTAGGTTGCTGGGATCATCAGCTTGGAGCTTCGTGTCTTCACATAGCAGGAGACACAAGGGGCGTCATGGTCATGGAGGTGACCTTTGGAGAGTGGGTTGAATGTGTTTACTTCATATTCTGCTCCAAATATGAACGAAGTACTTTGCCTTCCTGGTTTGTAGTTGAGGTAATCCGGGACTTCAGGGACGCANTGGTTACAAAGAAACATATGATGTGTAGTTCATGTGGGGTTTTATTCCATACTGTATTAAAAGTCAATTTTAGTAATATGAGCTGCAACTCTTGACTAGTTTAGCCTGCCACGCACATTGTTATCTATTCTAAATATTATATACCGCAGCACTCGCTTGTCTTATTGTACATTTTGTTTGCAGAGGAGGACATCTTTGAAAAAGTGGGGATTTGTCACTGAACGGTTTTCCTACCTTGTTCTTAGAAAAGGAACTCGAAATGAAGAAGGTTGGTGGCATACTTTAGCACAATATTTTGTGCATGGTTAATCGTACTCCCAAAATTCAATTCATTAATGAAGACAAGATAATATAGTTAATATCATATACAAGGTGACTAATCCAAAGGGGACTACATAGGTTCTACAGAAGCCCCCATATGATCTAATAAAATTCACTTAACAATCAATTTTCATTGCATTCATGTTCTGAATCTTAGTCGACATGGGCTGCCTGTGCCTATGAGTGCCTGTAGTACATTTTATTGTTCGTTTCCATGATGTTCATGATAGATATTATTGAAACAAAATAGAAAAAAACTGGATCGTCCTCTGATATGAGTTATTGGTTAAAATATAAAATGTAATTTCAATGTGGGACTCCTATAGTTTGTCATCAAGAACGGTTTTTTTTTCATATTCATACATGTATTTACTTAGACAAACCTTGGCCAAGAATTCTGGAGCACGTGAAGTTGAGAGGAAGACATGTTATTTGCAAGCTATGCTCAAGTAATGGTAAGCCTGCTTGCCTTTTATATCTAACAGAGGGTGTATTTGTATTGACTATGTGCAGAATGATGGCTCATAGTATACGCAACAAACATGACACAGACCAGATAGTAAAGTTCCAGTTGTAAACCTTGCTTGGTATTGATATAGCATGTTTTAGGGTTCAAATTTTTTCTACTTTCACACAAAGTATCTGTTTCAAGTATTATCTATTGTCGGGAAGAAGGCGAAGGGAGATTGCATGACCGAAAGGAACTTATATGTTTACACTGTTTTGACAAACAAAATTTCATTTGTTTGGTTCGCCTAGAATAGAAATGGAGACTAAACGAGCCGATGTTTACCGCAGACAATCTTACAGTATAAATCAGTTGCTATTTCTCATCAATTAGCTAAACCAATGGCCATTTATAGTCGTGTAATCGCCGTCCGACAATACTCCAATTTCGAGTTCTGGTTTGCTCTGTGTTAGCCTCAAAGCCAAGTAGCATATTCTTTTGTTTCATTGATAGCTCGAAAAAACGCATGGAATTTGTGAAGAAAGACAATAAATTTGATTTGAAATCTCACACTTCTACGCTCACAATAAGGAATATTTGGCACAAATGAGGCTAACACAGAGCATTGGAGAATTCGAAACTGGAGTATTGACATTCGCCATTTTATCTCACAACCTTTTTTGAAATACTGTAAGTATATACCAAGCTTTGTGTCTTGTGGCGCGTAATTAAGGTTTCTAGCTCTTCCACTTTTCCTAGATGTTGGCAATCAATTACGCTTAGTTTTACTAAGGAACCTGTTATTGAATATAGTTGTGTTTTTACAGGTGATATTGAGCAGAAGATACTAACAAAGAAGAAGGACAGGTAAAACAGGTAAAACGTTTATCCAACTTTTGTGACTATGGTTGCACTATTTCAAATTGAATTCACAAATCAAAAGATTTTATTGTTTTTAAAACTGATTGCAACAGCTAAAATCATATCCGACCAGTAAAGGTGTGGGCAGAAAAAAGTCCATAAATTAATAAGGACAGGCAAGCGAAGAAGGAGGACTTATTGAGCAATCAGTTTAGTGTCTGGTGCTATACAAGATGAGGTCGGTCAGCAATGAGTGGGTTAATAACTATTCCTATTATGAGTACGGTCACCAGAAGGATTTGAGATGGTGTCAATACATAGAAAAGCATTTTAATTTTGTGTGTGTTTTGTTGTTTGTTTGAAAAAATAGCGATATCTACAAGTGTGCAAGACATCTTAGTAAATGGGGAGACTTAATGCCGATAACAGAAGACAGAAAACGTCCTTTGAAGAACCCTCACGTTACTTTAACACGGCGAGGAAAGCTCAGGAAATAACTTGTGCAATCAAATTTCTTAGTTGAGAGTTTTTTCGTTGACCGAGAAGGAAAAGACTATCTATCTAATAATAAAAAAACTACGATTGTTGAGTCTGCTAACTTTTGTACTTACCATTTTTTTTTTCACGGTCAAATTGAAAAGCAACCATTTTAATGTAATAATCGCCATTGAAAATGTATAAAAAATTATTTTGAAAAATGGTTGTCGAAAATTGATAAGAAGCTTGAGCTATTATCAAGTACATATTGCTCAAGGGACTTCTAAAAAGAGAATAGTTCTTGTGCTTTATTGGAAATACGAATTTTGTTTCATAGCTATTGTCGCTGCCAGATAAAGAGGGAATTATAGATTTCTTTAATTCTATATGTTTTCCATCCAAAAATCTCTGAAATAAGTAAAGAAATTAGTAACACTGAAAATTGAAAAAATCAACAACAATAATAAAAATAATGAAGCTTAAACAAGAGATCATGCTCATAGTATATTTTATTTAAACTTTACCTTAAAACGATGATTTGTGATTTGTTTCACAACTCCACGTCAAATGATTTATCTTATGAATTTTGCATTAAAAGATTTCAATTCCATTAGTATAGMATTCTTGGATTTCACAGTCATTAAAAACAAGGTTCTTACAATTATCTGGTGTAAAGTTTTGTTTGGTTGGTTGGTTGGTTTTTTGTTGTTTGTTGTTTGTTGTTTGTCCTTGAGGAACTTTGTAAATCATTTCTAAGTTGTAACGCAAAATATTACCTTGGATGTATGAGTTGTTTTATAAGTAATGATAAAGTTTTCATGCTAAAACATCTTTTTCAAATTCAGTATTATTCAAACTTGGAAGAACATTCAGTGTAGTTCGATTCCTGTGTTATGGTTSAGGGAATTCCTATAGGGCGACTCTTTCGATCCACATAAATCCGCCCCTGTTATAAGTGTCATCTTATTCGCTATTTCAGTACAATCGACAACTGTTCATGAAATCACATGGAGAAAAATGATTTGCAAAGCTTCCCGCTATGATAGTGATTGAACAATTATCAGTAAATCATGTTTTACAACCTTGTATTAATTAACTGAGCTGATTTATGAATGACTACTTGGTGCAAACGACACATGTCAGTTCTAGGTCTTGTCTGTATGGGCGACAAGGAAGGGAACCACAGTGACCAGACACAGGATACAGCAGAGCTCCATTGTGATTTGGTTTGCTACCTGCTACAGCCTCAGCATCTTTGTCTACACAGATATAAACCCTGTTATTCCTGTGGCCATGATATTCCGTCATCAGGTACCCATAATACTCTCTGGTCCACCCTGAGGGGCACTTGTAGGTTGCTGGGATCATCAGCTTGGAGCTTCGTGTCTTCACATAGCAGGAGACACAAGGGGCGTCATGGTCATGGAGGTGGCCTTTGGAGAGTGGGTTGAATGTGTTTACTTCATACTCTGCTCCAAATATAAACGCAGTATTTTGCCTTCCTGGTTTGTAGTTGAGGTAATCCGGGACTTCAGGGACGCATACGTAGTTAGCACCTCCTCCGTAATGGTTGTAATACTCTCCTCCGATTCGACCTGAAATATTAGTTGATATTTTTTCATTGGTCTGAATAGTGAGAAGTATAGTTGGTAAAAGCAAGGTGGAGCCGAGTTACACTGATGAAGAATGCAAGTGCTAGTGTAGTGTTATTCATAGACAGGTTTAAAGCAAAAGTTGATTTCATTTATTTCTGTATAGTGTTAGGTTTCTCTCACAGCTGGTGTTTTGAGTTTTATCAAATTTCGTCTTCGGAATATTAATAATCATGAAAAAGTATTTTGAGAACGACTGGAAGCATAAATTACCTTTGGGTATTTAATTTCTTGCTTCATTGAAAGTTCAAAAAAGTTATAGAAGATATTCTACTATTAAACAGGGTGGTATTCTGAGATGTTTAACATCACTTACCCTTGTACACAATATTAGCACCAGAAGGACATGACGTCTTGCCCCATCGAATGTATTCTACCCCACCCCTACTACGTCCAGGTGGTCCTCTTGCGCCATTTTGTCCTGATGGCCCTTGCGGTCCTCGTGGCCCTGTCAAATCATAGAATTATTCTATGATATTTGCAATGTATCCTACGAACATGTAGCCTGAGTAACCATATGCAAGCTCAAATCAATATTCGAGTGAATGATAACGCTTTTACTGAGCTCAGTGTATAAAGATAGGTGCTTTGAACGCCTTGTTATAATTTTTTCATACCTTTTGGTCCTCGTGCTCCGTCTTTGCCATTACGGCCATCTCTACCTATGTAAAAAGATAACAATAATTTTAAGGAAAAGACTTAGCCATTTTATTATTTCACATGTCATTATGTTGTTGAGACAAATCATTTGGTAGCACTTTTAGCAGTTGTTGTTCCTATGGTAACCAAGCCGCACCCAAAATACATGATTTTTCATGTAAGGCTCTGGCTGTAACATCTCTAGCTCTTAACCTATAATTGGTATACAATCCAAACTAAGGATATTTATTGTCAATGCAATCTATGCAATGAACCAAAAATTGTTATCAACTGGAAAATAATGTTGCCAATTTACTTCATATCATATCACTAAATGTGGTTTAAAAAAATTGTACACGCGGTTTTTCGTTGTATATCCTCTTTTTGGTAAGGTGTATATACCATAAGCAATTATATTACAAAAATATCAATAGACAAAAATATTTAGAGACTTGAATCAATTGAAAAAATTGTACTTGGTTTTGAGTTGTATAYATGCGTCATAAATTAAATTTWGAAAAATAAAGTGGATCCACGAGCGCAGCGATTTTTTTAAAGCAAAAATCATTCTTTTTTCTTTCAACTGAACGCGCGCGCGWGACGTGATGGTSTCAGCACAGTGCGCATGTCMTCTTATTGAAACACTCTTATYAGCCAATCAGCGTGCGAGAATTTACACAAGTGTGGTAAGTGCGTGTGTGTGTACAGCGATTTTAAAATCATTTTTCTTTAGATGACTTTATCAACTACTGAGAGGAATTTTTAACAATGCAACTAATGTACCTTGTGCTCCTGGTATACCGTCTTTACCATCTCGACCATCCCGACCTGAAAAAGTTGATATTTGATATTGAATTTTGTATTGAAGAGGTTTTTATATAAAACGAAACCATTTTTCCTGAAAAAACCTGGTGTTCTAGTACGTAAAAGATTATTGCTTTGAGTTTAAACTCTTACACAAAATGAGATATTTGATATTACATTGCTTTTATCAACACCATCATCATTATCATCATCATTTTCTTCAAAGGAGGAACCTGCACAGTTTAACGAGGTGGTCAGTTACCTTTGAGCAATATCATTCTTCTAGATTCCATTCTGTACAACCTGAGAAGGGGAAATAGCAAAACAGGATGAGAATTGTTATTCGGTCCATATTGTGATTTTTTTTATTATCTTGAACTACCCTTACTTAATAACATGTAATAACGGCTTGTAAAAAAACAGTTATAGAGTCGATCGATAAAACGTTTGATGAAAAATGCGAGTAATTTTGGATTTATGGTAAAGTGTTTATCTGCATTTGGGAACAACAATATATATTAATCTCCCCTTTTCGGCAGAGGCTTCTCAGTCTGTGCCTCTCGCTTGCTATATAAAAATAAGTATGCCNATAATGTGATAGCTGACTGAAACACAGGTAGCCCAAGCTCAGCACTCTAGTGAATATTATCTACAGTACAAGCATCTAAATAAGAAAAAAAGACAGTTTATTTCACTATAGAGACCTGAAACTTTGTATGCATGTGTTTGAATGCATTTTATTGAGACTTCCAATTTTTAATGAATTTTTCGTTTTTCTCTATAAGACCTTCTGAGAGAAGTCAATGAGAGGCCATGAGTGCTGCTGAGCTTGGGCTACCCGAAACTGAAAGAATGGAAGAAGAGACAGCAAGAAGAGATAGATGCATGGATGGATGGATGGTAGATGAATGAAACATAGACATAACTAAAGATTAGTGATCTAATAAATGAAAGACTGATTAATGAAATATGCAACACATGTGTCCTGTTTGGGCTACCTGTGTTGAAAACCTTTTCCCCAGGTTTCCTCATCTAAAACAATCCTGCTTATATAAACTATGCTAAAGAACTCAAAATTATTACTTTAAAACTACTCTTTTAATAAGATAATTTGAAGATTTTCGGATGCTTGTCTTCAAATTCAGCCCAGTAATTATAGTCCAACGTTCACATCATTTCGGCACATCATAAAAGATTCTGGATTTATCATCATTAAACTTTACAGGTACAAGCTTCAAAAATTAAATAGAAGCAAGAAATGACATATTTATCGCACCTTACCGTTCAAAATCTTCGAAATATCTCCGTCAAAACAACAACATGACTTTTAGTCCGCCATCTTGAATAATTTCATAACACAAATATGGAAAGTATTACCTTATTAGGAAAAACATCATTTTTGCCCAATCCAGTTCTTTTGAATTCTCGAATTTGATTGGTCCAAAACAAGCGTGGGCATTTTGAAAACCGTTGATCTAACGTTCCATCCGTGAGAACAGAACTCTTCGTCCTTGAAGAAACTTTCTACATATTTCAGAATAAAGACAAGTAATGCAAGTCATCTAGAAATTCAGAGCTTCGCTGTTTTTTATTAATTATCAAAAGAAGAAAAAAAATACGATCTAAAAGAGAGCTTCAAACTGTTTAAATTTGACAATGGACGGGGAGAATGAAAGTTATGACTTCGACGCACCAATGTTCGTTGATTTTACCAACAGAGGACCTTTTGACCAMGACGATTCAGACATCGACAAATGGTTTGGTAAGTCCWAAAAAAGTTTTTTAGTTCTTCAGACAAGGAAGAAATAGATAAAGTTATCTTTTGGCTTTTCTTTAGACGAAAGAGACGGTGATGATGGCGGGATCGCGCCGGATAGTTTGGAGGARGACAGCAATGACGATGTGAAGAATGAACACAACGAACAGGCTTCAACACAAGTTAAAGACTTAGAAGAGACTAAACAAGATGATGAAAGAGAAACTATTGAGGTTAGCAGCGAGAAGACTAAAGAAGAGCAAAAGTCTGAGCCGATGTTTTTCTTTGAGGATAGAAGCGCTCCAAACCTCACAGTGGCGCCATCTTGGAAGCCACGGTTGCAGGCTTTGAGACAAGTTCTCTCTACATCAGCTTCAGCGAAGGAGGAACAAGATGAACCACCGATGAAGAAAAAGCGAGCTGATTCGGCAAGGTAAACCCTAAATGAGCTGTACAGTAATTTATCTGACTTAAAAAGCACGTTGTTCACTTTTTTTATGTTAGAACTCAAGTAAACACAAGCATCAAAACGACCTGTGCTCCCCGGCGATCACTTCGCTCTTCATCACGATCTGAGGCCAAAAGACCAGCGAGAGCTAAACAAATGCCTAAAATGAAAGCTCCAATGTTAACCATCCCATCGACTCCTACTATGATGAGGTAAAARACRAACATGACAAAAGMATTTTATTAAAAAAAAACAAATACATGTAGCATCAAAATTAATTGTTATTTACAAAATTCAGCCAGTTTGTGATCTTTGATAATCTTATATTTCCTTGCTGAATTTTCCCTTGCTCTCTCTACTTTTATATTAATGATCATTATAAAGAGGTTTACCTCATATATTTTTGGCAAAATGTTTCACAGACGGGTCAAAAATGTATCTTCAACAACATCAACTGCCATCAAACCTAAAGAACAAATGGAGCTGGAGCAAATTGCACAGATGCAAAAGGAACTCAAAGAGAAGAGAAAGCAAAATGAAGAGTTTATGAAAAAGGCTCTCTCTGCTGGTAACTACATGCCACACAGATCTGTTGATGAAAACTTGACAGAAGCCCATGAATTTCACTTCGAACTGGACAAAAGAATCAAGAAACCACAGCACGCTACTGGCGAAGGGAAGCAGAAGAACTTCTTTGATACTCTACGACAACATCCAATTTCTCCAGTGAGTATAAATGATATTGCATGCTTATTAAAACACAAGAGAAGTATGAAACACTCACTTCTTGATACACCTACTTTATACATAACAATTACATAAATCTTTTTCTTTCCCTTTATAAATGATAGTTGTTGAATGTATGCCACAAAGATAAAGATTTTAACATTTATTTTATTTATAGTCTTTCAAAAACAGAAAACCAACCAAACAACGACCTTTCAGCTTCGACTCTGGACAAAGCAGAAAGCGCAAAGCAATGGATGAAGTCAATTCATGTGACGGATATGTCTCCATGGCTCAGCAGTGTTACAAGTTTCAAAATTCCACACCTCCAAGGTTCAGAATGAAGAACGCAAAGGAACAAAACATTGGTCYATCAAAATGTACTGAGAATGAAAAATACCACTCAAAACTGACCTTACCAAAGACGCCATGTTTAACAACCAAAGAAAGAAAGAGAGTGTTACCAGATGACTGTCTGAGTAGAGAGCAACAAGAAGAGAAAGATCTTGAAGAAATGAGGAAGTGAGTATATAATTTATATTCTGCATTTAGTTTATCTTTGAATGTAACTTAAATAGAAACCCACAATTTATTTTCAAGTCACAGTAGATATCAACTCAAACTTGTGATGCTATGGCTCAATCATCCTTGAGTTGATGTTTCTGAAAATAACTCAAAAATTGAATTCAAAGAAGTTGAATATGTAGTACTTACAATTACAAAATGCTTGAATTCTATGCTAAAAGTACAAACACAATCTGTCTCACTTAGCTACAAGTTCAAGGCTAGAGAATTTGATCCAAAAATAGTAGAAAAACAAGGAACATACGGCATAAAACCACAGCCAGCAAAGAGCCTCACAGAGCCCAAACCATTCAACTTGGCATCAGAAGAAAGAAGTATTGTTCATAAAGCAAAGGACCATTCAGAAATGGAGGTATGTTTAATTCCACAAAAATACACTCAAAATAATTTGAAATGGACTCTCTACATGTCTGTGTCTTAAGAATATCACAGTTTATTCTACAAAAAAGAATGGACTGCATTTTCAAGTTACTTTCCTTTATGGGGCAAAGGGGTTTAAAACACTAGATTCCACTATGTAATATACTGTATTCTAGATTAATTATTAATCTAATATTAAATCTGATTAATTTTTAGGAAAAACCAGCACCATTTAAAGCTCAACCTCTTCCTGAATTTGATAAGAAAGTATTCAAACCAGATTTACAACACCAGGCTACAAAACAACATCCATTTTCATTTGACCATCGTGATAAGGAGATGCAAACCAAGAAAGAGGAAAAAATCCAGTCCATTTTAGAAGAAGAAAAGAAGGTAAAGCAACTTTAGGGAACAAATAATACT